CCTTTTCGTCGCTCTGTCTCTCTTGCACCGAAACAGGACGCTCCACCAGCGCGAGAGAGACAGAGCGACTCTCGGAATCAGTCTGCTGAGGCGACGGCGGGAAATGCGGGGAAACGAGACGCGTGGGTGGCGGAGCGAGAGAGACACATACAGGAAATTGGTGGCAGGAAGAATGCGCGGAAGGAGGACAGTTGTTCCGCTGTGTCTGCGCGGCCGAGGTGCGGCCGAGGCGGGCGTGGCGCGAGGCTGCAGTCCCGGATGGAGACCGCGGCGGCTGTATCTTTTTTTCATGGCCAGGTGGAAATTTCGGGCGAAAATCCACCCCCAGTTTGCAGTCAAACAGCACGGCGCCGTTTACGGCGTGCATCGCGGAGCCGCTCCTCTTCCTGCAGTAAATGAGGCCGACACGCGAACGAGCGCCGAGAGCCATGCTACGCCGGCAGCCCCGATTCCGAGAGTCGCTGTCGTCGCTCTGTCTCTCGCGCACCTAGAGGGGACGCCCAGCGAGAGAGTCAGAGCGACGAAAACGACTCCCGGAGTCAGTCTGCTGGCCGGCCAAGACTCAGCCGCCAAGGACGAGCACAAGGCATGCAGAGCCAGAAGTCGGACCAGGCTGACGAGCCGCGAGCGATTCCATACATCGTCGCTGTCTCTCTCGCACTCGTGGGGCGCTCCGTCGCTCCGTATCCACGCGCTGAGGTGCGCACGGGGAGGGCACACTCGTAGCGCGCAACACGAGTAGCGAAGTAGTCTGAGAATGCTGAAGGCAACCGGAGCAGAGCTCCACCAGGAATAGGGACAGGGATGAGGGGGGATTGGGAGGGGGGGAGCCTGTCAATGACTCGCGTGTAATCCCATCCCGGTCCACGCGCCGCCAGCGCCAACGCCCTCCGCGCGCCTCGCCTCGCGCGGGCCTCGCGCCTCCAGCACCCTCCGGCCTCCGGGACGACAAATAAAATTACACGGCATCGCGCGGCGGCGCTGCCGCACCTCCACGCCGAGCGCCGGCCCGCCAGGCCCCGCCAGGCCCAGGCAGTTCGGGGATGAGGAAACGAATTCTGTTGGACCTGTGCGCTCCTGATGAGAGGCCCCGGCAGGAGGGCCCGTGCTGCGCGGTGCTGCGCGGTGCTGCGCGGTGCTGCGAGGCACTCGGCCAGCAGCGCCGCGTCCCCGAGGCGCCATCCGGGCCTTCCAGGCCGTTAACGGCATCCTCGAGTCAACACGCCCTGCTGGCCGTGCGGGCGGCGTGCCGGCCTTGTTGGCCTCCAGCGGGCATTATACCCTGAGCGGATTACATTTCCGAGCGGCGTGCAGGTAGGCAATCCATCGGGCTGGCGCCATGCTGGCGCGCGGCGGCGTGGTGGGCCGGGCCGGCCTACCTGGCGGGCTGTCGACGCGCTGCTCCAACCACGCCACTCCAACGCGCCGCAGTCGGTACCGCCGCGGTACCCGCAGCCCCCTTGGCTTTGGCCAATTTGGTGCCACTTTGGTGTGACTCCGGCGCGGTGCCGGCCCTGCCCGTTGTTACGGTGATGGCCGTTATTATTCCTTTAAGAGAGGCTTGTGGGTCTGCGAGCTCTGCGAGGTCGCGGCCCTATTTGCATGGCTATGAGGGACCCGGAGGGACCGCAGGGACCCCCAAAGGGAGCCCCCCAGAGGAACCCCCGCAAAGGGACGCCTCTTGTTATCAACAGCAATTTCGTTCGCTGACTGGATGAATATCATTTGTGCGAGTGACAGTTTGGCGACCACTCAGCGCGGTGTCGTGGCGCCGCGCTGGCGCCGCGCGCCCCGAGCGACGAGACCGCCGGGCCGGGCACAGCGCGGCACACCGTCACCGAGGCGGCGTCACAATCCTCCTGGAGGGGAAAGATTATTTGCCTTTCAATTGGCGAGCGTTTCCCCTTCGGCCCCGCCCCACCCCGCCCCACCCCGCCCGATGACAGCTCGCTGTGCTTGCCGAGGCCAGGCCAAAGGCTGGCCGAGTCCTGAGTCGGAGGATTACGCCTGAATCCCGAATCTGTGAGTCGGCCGCGCCGCCGGGCCTCGAGCCTCGCGATGGAAGGCGGGCAACCCACAGTGCGCCAGAAGACCGGTGGGGGCGGACAAAATTCCAGACGCAAACAGGACTCGAACAAGCGTGTGACCCCATCAATGGATTGCTCTTTGAACGAGGGATCCATAAGTGGGGCCACGCGTTGGGTTCGAGTCCTGTTTAGCGACTCTGGAGCTCAAAATACGTGTCGAGTTTTATCCACCGCCAGCGGTCCTCTGGCCCACTGTGCAGCCGGTGGGGCGGGCCTGCCGAGGCCTGCACTGCGACTCGGTGGGGACGAGGCGGAAATTGAGTCAGGCCGCGCCGCAGCGCCACAACGCAATGGGGCAGCGCGGCCTCGGCGCCGTTAAACCGAGTATCCGCCAACACCACCTTCATCTCCATGCGCCGCGCGCACCCCCCGCCGCACCGCGCCGCACCGCGCATCGCGCTTCCGGACTTGATCAGAGGTGAGTGAGCGCGAAGGGCGGGGCGGGGCGGGGCGGGGCGGGGCGCGAAACTAACTTACAGCCGGCAGCACCCCGCCGCCCGGGTGGCGCTAACTTCCAACTCTAAGTAACTCCAGATGGTGCAGGTGTGGGACAGAGACGCGACGATAAGGAGTGATCCCAACTCGCTAGTTCATCCCACCACCTCGACACAACAGCGCCCCGCCCCGCCCCGCCCCAGCATCGCCATGCCATTCACCCCGCGGCCGTGCCTTTCTTTCCCTGGCTTCGCTGGCTTTGCTGGCTTGCCTGGCTTGCCTGGTTTGCCGTCACCGCGTGCCGCGTTCGGCGGCTGCCCTTTCAACGCGCCGTGCGCCGTGCGTCAACTTCCTAATGGCGGATACGGCGCGGTGCACTGCCGGCGCCGTCTCCCTCGCACCCCGGCGGGACGCTCCACGAGGCGAGAGAGACAGAGCGGCGACAGCGCTGTTCGGCATCGCTCTGCAGCACCGCCATTGCTGCGCGATTGCTGCGCCAGTGCCGCCAGTGCAGTCTCTAAGTCGGATTCAAAAGCCTCCCCGCGCCGTGCAGTGCAAGTGAAGCAGCCCGCGCCCCAGCCGGCAAAAAAAAAAGAAAAGGAATGACCCTGTCGCTGTCCGAGGGGCTGGCCCGGCCGACGCGTAGATGGAGGCGGGCAGCAGACTCATTCCGAGACGCGTTTCCGTCGCTCTGTCTCTCTCGCTCTCATGGGTTGTCTCCCATAGGTGCGAGAGAGACAGAGCGACGAAAACGACTCTCGGAATCAGTCTGCAGGAAGGCCGTGTCCAGGCCCAAGAGGAACGGGTCGGACATTTGCTTTAAGCAACAGGAATTTTCTTTCCCCGGGCAATCGTGCGTTCACGGCGCGTCCCTCGAGTCGCGGGGCGTCGGCGATAGCCGTGCCCAACTAATAGCCTCTCTCTCGCGCGAGCCGGGCCGGGCCAGGCCACGCCGGGCCACGGAAGCCTTGCCTAGGCCCGGGCTCATCCTGTTCTCTCGAGGAAATGACACAAACTTTTCACGACGGAGCGCAGCGCGACTTCGCAGCTCCTACAGGCAAAGCGAGAAAGTGCGCCGTGCCGTGCCGTGCCGTGCCGTGCCGCGCCGCCAAGAAAAACATTCCAAAGTTAAAGACGTGTGAAGATTCCAGCCGGCGGGCTGGAGTGGCTGCTTGCTGGCTGGCTGGCCCCGCCAGTGGCGCTGTGGACAGAGATTGCGGACAGAGTCGGGCCCGGGAACGGATTACGCCGCGGCTTTCCGCGCGGGGTGCCTGCCGGGGTGCGCCGGGGTGCGCCGGGCGGGTCGCGGGGTCCGAGCTTTATGAATCGATTCATAACTGCCAGCCGCGAGTGATGTGCCGTAATCACCCCATTGAGGCTCCAAAGTGACACCCGGGATCATCCGCCCTCCGTCGCCGCGGCCAGCACTGCGGTCACCCGGACGAGCTTTCTCCCTCTTTCTTCTTTCTTTTTCTCTCTCTCGCGATACTTTTATCCCGTCCGCACTTAGGCGCTCGCTCTCCCTCCCCCCTCCTCTCTCTCTCTCTCTCTCTCTCTCTATCTCTCTCTCTCTCTCTCTCTCTCGCCGTGATGCGGCACGACTCCGGCCGAGCAAGGGCGCCCAAAAGAGTCCCCGAGTCATTGGACTCTTGAATGGGTTCAGCTCGAGGCCCTGTGATGCCTTTTCAAGGCAAGTGTTGAAGATGTACGTCGAGCGCCTGCAGACGGCCGGGTAGGCAACACGAGGCACACCCGTGTGCTGGGTTGCCTGCCCTCGGTTTCGCAGGGGCTCAAGCAGTCAGCTTTCTCATAACCCAAAACGCGAGGCGTGGGTTTATTTCAGTGGAGTGGGTATTGAATGTCCAAAGCCAGCGTCGAGGCACGCGTGAATGTGACAGTGAATTTCGGGTCGAGAGACGCCCGACGGTGCCCCGTGCAGGGAAGGATGGGATTCCTCACAGAAGTCAGAGAGCAGCTCCCTAGAACCCGAAATACCGTGGGATACCGGGGGATCCTGGGAGATACCGTGGGATACCGGGGGATACCGGGGGATACCGGGGGATACCGGGGGATACCGGGGGATACCGGGGGATACCGTGGGATACCGGGGGGGGGGGATACCGGGGGATACCGGGGGATACCGGGATCTGGAGGCGGCCTACTTCCAGAGGCGATGCAAGGTCTTTCGCCCACCTTCCAAGCGGCTATCTAGGTGCTTATGGAATGGGCACACCCCCTTTGCCCCTCCCCTGTATCCAGACCTGTTCAACCATTCTACGCGAATAGAACCTAGCATTTCTCGGCGCTGAATGTTTCAGCGGCGCGCAGCCTCCCCGCCGCGAGTGCTGGCTATTTCTACCTTGTCTCGCGTCGTCGCCGCGCTCTACTTGGGGCTCGGCGTCGATCCCGAACCTGGGACGCGGTGAGGAAGATAGGCCGGATCGAAAGCCAAGGCATGCACAAGGCTGCTCCACTCACCGTGCACGTCGATGCAGCCCTGCTGGCTCTTCATGACGAACGTGTTGATCTGGCACATGTAGCAGCCGCGGTCGCTCTCCTTGACCTGCCGGATGTGCAGCTGCCACGTGCGCTGGTTGTCGTGCGACACGGACACGCGCGAGTTGTGCGTCACGACACGCGTGTGCATGGTGAGCACCGTCTGGTCCGACGCCTTGAGCCAGCCCACCTGCGACAAGGACACACTACGTAATACCTGGACGAGACACAGTTGATTTGCCAGAAGACCGGTGGAGGCGGCCAAAACTCTTGACGCGTTTTGAGCTCCAGGGTGGCTGAATGGGACTCGAACCGAACGTGTGACCCCACCAATGGATTGCTCTCCGAACGAGGAATCCATTGGTGGTGTCACGCGTTCGGTTCGGGTCCCATTTAGCGACTCTGGAGCTCAAAACACGTCTAGAGTTTTGGCCGCCTCCACCGGTCTTCTGGCCCACTGTTCGAGGCAAAGCAGTGCAGGGCTCTCTCGAATCATTTAGCACTGCCGCCTTGGCCGCCTCGGCCGCCTTGGCGGGGTGTGGTCTGAGGTTAACAACTAACGGAGCGGAGAGGCTCCGCTGTGCCCCGCCGTGCCGCGCCGGGGCTGCAGGACAGAGGGGCCAGGGCTTTGTGAGCCCAGCGCGGCCCAGCGCGGCCCAGGCGTGTGGCCACCACGATAATGTAATCCGGAGGGTGAGGGCGAGGCAGGGCGAAGGCCGAGGGTCGGGCCGGTCGGCGGGGCGCCGAGGTTTCCAAGGTGACTATTACCGCCGTTACGCTGTTTGGCCATCCAAGGTGTGTTAACAATAGGCGGGCCTTATATCAACAATACGCTGGAGGCCGGCGAGGCCGGCGCCAAGGAGAGAGGGTCGCTGCGGCTGGCGCGAGGCTAGCAGGGCCAGCGCGGCCAGCCCAGGCCAGCCAGCCCGGGGCTGTTCGCTCGCCCGGCCCGCCCGGCCCGCTGGCTCGGCCCCTCACGGGTCGTAGTTCCCCTGACGGCCACCTCGGGCGAAGGCGCTGGCTCGGCCCCTGACGGGTCGTAGTTCCCCTGACGGCCACCTCGGGCGAAGGCGCTGGCGCGGCGGACGTGCGGCGTGCCTGCAGCCTGCACCTGTCCGTTCCGCGTGCACGGTGTGCACGTCAGGGAGGCCGCCGCCGTGGAGGCCACCGACGTGCCGCGAGTGAGGGCGCCCGGAACACGTCCAGACGAGCAGTTCCGAAGAGTCGTAAAAAAACAACAAAAACTGTGCACTCGTATCTATTTATGCTGTTGTCAAAATGTATTCTGCCTTTTTTCAAAAGGCGCTTTCTTATTGGTAACATTTTTGTGCCTGTCCCAAGTTTCGTATATATAAGTTAAACTCGGTGCTAAAAAAAAAATTCCAATGCTAATCGCATTGCACGGTGTTCCCGTTTCCATAACTGGTTGAAAATCGAGGAAAACATGACAAGACAACCGCAGCCTTTGAGAGCATGCCAAACAATCCAACCTCAGCAACAATGGAGGGGCAGTTTCAATGAGCGCCTGTTCGTTCTTTCAGCCTCGCGATTTTCGAAAGGGCGCAGACGGCAAGCAAATTGGTGCCAACCCACGAAAATTAATTTGATGCTACGTTTCTGCTACGAACTTTTTAGCAGTGACAGACTTTAAACATGTTCCAACGTTGAGACACCGTGCAATGTGTTAGCATCAGCATTTTCAAATTTCACGGCGTTTTGATTTTTTTAAATGGGCGACTTTAAATTTTGACGGGTGGTACGATGGGACCATGCCGTTGCCATGGAGATTTTTTTTCATGTTTTGACCATTTGCTCAGAACATATACGATTTCTTGTTACTTTGATGAGCCAGGAGGTTTAGTTTTGAGGAGTGGCACATTTTTTATTTGAACCATTTTTTCATATCATTAACGGTTCTCGTTTTCGATTGTTGCAAATTTATGTTTTTCGCGTTTACGGAAAATTTCCACGATGAATTTTCGAAAAAAATTGGAATTTTCGTGTTTTTCATGGTTGAAATAGTTTAGAGTTGTTTATTTGAAAATCGGAGAGGGGGGGGGGACGAATCCACGGACCTCGGACAATAGGGGTTCTTGGGAACCCCTAAAAATGGGGCGTCCCGTCACGGGTGCGAGAGACACGGCGACTCTCGGGTAGCTGCAGTCACACTCGCTGTCGGCCTCGTCAGCCCTATCCGGGACGCCGTCCATCTTCCCTCCACAAACGACCGTCCTCCCCCCCATGACCCCCGTCACGGGGCCCCGTGCAGCAGCAGCCACAGCGCGGTGTGCCACGGCACTGGACAACGCACCGGGCAATCTGCACTCCATCTCGAACCTGTTTTCTGACGAACCATTTTCGGCGCTCATTTGGCGGTGCGAATGGCCAGCGCGCTGGCGCTGCGGACGGATTCCGAGAGTCGTTTTCGTCCCTCTGTCTCTCTCGCACTCATGGGGCGTCCCGCACAGGTGCGAGAGAGACGCAGAGCGACGAAAACGACTCTCGGAATCAGCCTGCTGCGGTGCGGCGGTGCGCAGGGACTCATCACTCAGGCGGCATTGTGGGCAATACTCGGAGCGTGGCGTGCCCCGCCCCGCCCCGCCAAGCCCGCCATGCGGGTGGACAATAAGCTGGACGCACACGCAGACACGCGGCGGCCGCCAACACAATGCGTCTTGCGTCATACGTGTGTTTGCTGCGAACCGCTCCATGATGGGGACTAAATGGCCACGGGCTGCCCGCTGCCGTGGCACACTGCTAGTTCAGTCACACCAGCAATATTTTTTTTACCACCATGTTTTTGTGATTGTTTTTTTTTTTTTTTTCGCGCTCATCCGTTAAGTTGGCGACCATGGATTTCGCATTCGCACCCCGAGGGCAGCGGCCGCAGCGGCGGAGACGCCAATATCCGAATCGGCGGCGAGGTCAAAATGGCCGAGTTTCTCATTCCCTTTGAAGAGATTTCTCAACTCGAAAAGTTTAAACGGACTCTCGCTGGCGCAGGCAAGGAACAGGGAGCAGGATTTATTTGGGTTTGGCGGGGCCGGGCGGGGCGGACGCAGTCTGGTTACCATACTGAGCCCGGCTTACATCCCCTCTCCTGCCCCTGCCCCTCGCCCAGCGCCGGGCCCTACAGGGAGATATCATACTTTTCGCGCGACCTTCCCCGCGGATTGTAAGAAAAAGTTGGCAGGGTCCTGGCAGATATTTCAGAGGTCTTGGAAATAGCGAATTAAGGGAAGGAGGGCGAGCAGGGACCGCTGTCCTGCAAAACTCCCACGCCCTTGCCCTCGCTGCGACCAGAGCACCTCGGGGCGGGGCGGGGCGGGGCGGGGCGGGGCGAGGTGGAGCAGAGCGGAGCGGCCTTACTCGGGATTTGCGTCTCTGAAAAGGAAGAGTTAGGCTGTGCCGGGCTGTCCAGGTGGTCCAGGTGGTCCGGGCGGTCCTGCGCCTGACAGTGGGTGGCGGAGGGGAGCGCGGCGAGCTCGGCGATCGCCGGAAGCAAGGCCCGGCCTGGGGCCCGGCCCGCCACGCCGCCACGCACCCCTTGTTCTACAAGACGCGGCGTTGTCGGCGGCCTACACGCCACGTCCACATCCCACTCCAATTTGGCGGGGAAGCGAACCGAGGCCGCCCCCGCCGCCCTGGCCGAGGCCCTGGCCGGCCGAGGTGCCGATAGCAGCCGACGAGGCTCGGCCAGGCACGGCCAGGCTCGGCCGCCGGCAGGGCACAGTGGCGCGAAAGGGCGGAAAGTTGTGGAAGAAAAGGAGCGAGGAAGGAGGTAATTCGGCAGGGCGGCAGGGCGGCGCGCCGCGGCGTGGAGGTGACGGAGGGGCCCCGAATCATACCGCGGGGCGGGGGGGGCGTCGCGGGGGCGTCGCGGGGGCCCCGCGGGGGCGTCGCGGGGGCGGGGGGGCGGGGGGCGTCGCGGGGGGCGTCGCGGGGGCGTCGCGGGGCGTCGCGGGGGCGTCGCGGGGGCGTCGCGGGGGCGTCGCGGGGGCGTCGCGGGGGCGTCGCGGGGGCGTCGGGGGGGCGTCGGGGGGGCGCGGGGGGGGCGCCCGCGGGGGCGTCGCGGGGGGTCGGGGGGGCGTCCCCGGGGGCGTCGGGGGGGGCGTCGCGGGGGGCGTCGCGGGGGCGTCGGGGGGGGCGTCGGGGGGGCGTCGCGGGGGCTCGGGGGGGGCGCCCGGGGGGCGCGGGGGGCGTCGCGGGGGCGTCGCGGGGGCGTCGGGGGGGCGCCCGGGGGGGGCGTCGCGGGGGCGTCGCGGGGGCGTCGCGGGGGCGTCGCGGGGGCGTCGCGGGGGCGTGGGGGGGGCGCCCGCGGGGCGTCGGGGGGGCGTCGGGGGGGGCGTCGGGGGGGCGTCGGGGGGCGGGGGGGCGTCGCGGGGGCGTCGGGGGGGCGTCGGGGGGGCGTCGCGGGGGCGTCGCGGGGGCGTCGCGGGGGCGTCGCGGGGGCGTCGCGGGGGCGTCGCGGGGGCGTCGCGGGGGCGTCGCGGGGGCGTCGCGGGGGCGTCGCGGGGGCGTCGCGGGGGCGTCGGGGGGGGGCGCGGGGGGGACGCTCCGCTTATTTTCCTCATTACGAATGTAAGCTCGGTGGCTGCACGCCGCGGGCCGGGGGAAGGGAAGGGATCCGTGGCGGGCCGGGCTATGCTGGCTGGGGGAGACCGCCGCCGCGCCGGGACAGCCGGGACGACTGCCAGCAGGGCTGGGCCAGGCGGGGCCCGGGCCCCTCCCCCGGGCCCCCGTGGGCCCCACCTGAGACCCTTGCCTGCAAGCGTTCGCGCTGAAACAAACATATTTTGGGGACGGGGCCGAGCAGGGGGAGGAGGGCTGGCCGGCTGCCTGGCTGGTGCGGTTGTTTGCTGAAGGCGCCGTGTCATCACGAAGAATAGGCGTCGCCAGAGGGGCGGCGGAGGGGGGGGGGGGGAGGGGGGGGGGGCAAGGATCCTGGGGCCGGGACGCCGGGACGGGGTTTAGAGGTACCGCCCGGCCTCAGCCCTGACCCTCGGTGTTTGAACAGGATCATGAGTATATGAATGGGGAGTTAATGGAAGCGCCCCACCCCGCCCCCGGGCTGGCAGAGGGTGGCGCTGATTTGTGTGTGTGTGTGTGTGTGTGTGTGTGTGCGTGCGTGTGTGTGCGTGTGTGTGCATATATCGGCCAAGCACGCATCCGGCGGCCCCCTTCTCCGTC